GCCTGTTTCCCCTGAGTGGATAGGAGTTTCCATCTGCTTTGTACTCGGATGGCCCCAGTGCCTGGTACAGTGGGTGGCACACAGTAGATGCCTGGTACCAATTTGTAAAGTGAACATCAGGAGGAGTGTGTGGATGTGTGAAGGGTTTGTGTGTGTGTGTGTGTGTGTGTGTGTGATGGCAGACACTCCCAGCCCTGCCCAGCCCTTTCTGTGGCCCCTTGGTTCCCTCTCTGGGCATGGCTTCTCTCTCCTCCTGCCCTCATCCACCAACCCTTATGGGCACAACAGGATAGTGAAGCTTGTCTCTCAGGGCAAAGGTTTTCAGCTGCCAGCAGAGCCTCCTCCTACTTCTGCTTCCCCTACAAGCATAATGGGCGCCATGGCCACCAGACCCTTGCTGTCCATGGAGAGTTCCCAAAAGACAGGGGGCCCTGGGTGCAGACCCATGCTGGGTGTCCCTGGGCAAGCCCGGGACCTGCTCCCAGACCCTGTGTTCTCATCTGGAAAGAAGTAAGAGTTACTGTGCTTGTGCCTAGTTTACAGACAAGGAAACTGAGGCTCAGAGAGGTGAGTCTGTCTTCAGGACAGCTGGAGCCACAGTTCTGTCTTCTGGGCAATGAGGACAATGTCCACCGCCCTTCCTGCCCTAGGTTGTCTTGAGGATTAAATGAGTGAAATAGCGTCTTTAAGCGCTCAGTGGTGTCCGCCACACAGCAGGTGCTCAGGAAATGTTGGCCACTTTTGCTGTTGTTCCCCGAGGTGAACGTACTTACCGAGGTCCCACATCCAGTCGGTGGCAAAGGCAAGCTTCAAACCCAGGTCTGTCTGAAAGTGACATCTCCCGCCCCACTTCCACAAAATAAAACAATAACAGCAATGGCCACAGTAACAGTCAGGACACCAGCAACGAGAACAGTCTTTTCCACCCCATTTGGTGGCTCTCAGGGTTAGCGCAAGGTTGTCAGGTGGCAGCACCTGCCCCACAGCCAGGATGGGGCACGGATTCCTCCTGCCCTCTCGCTGCCTCCGCTGGGACAGGTTGGCAGCCGGCACAACCTCCTGCGGGGACGCCCCCAGCCGCGCCGCCTGGGGGGCCGAGCGGGGACCGGGCGCCCGGGGAGCCCCCGGGGAGGCGAGCGCGGCCCGGGCTCTGGAAGGGGCCGCGCGGCCTGGAAGACATTACACGGCTGTCGGCCGGGGGGCGTCGCTCGAAGTTCCGGAGCGGTCCCGGCGGCCGACGCGCCGGGTGAGGGGACGGCCCCGCCACAAAGCGCGCTTTGTTCTGCGCTCCCCCCGGGGGCTGGAACCAATGGATTGGCGGCAGCTGAGGTCATCTGTCAGGCAGCGCCGGGGGTCAGGCCCGGGGAAGGGGCCGCCGGGGCGGGCGGGGCGGATGGGCCGGCGGGGTCGGTGTGTGCGGGCCCATTAACCAGGCTGCTCTCGCCAGGGGCTCTGCGGCAGGTCGCTGCTCCGCTAGGGGCCTCGTTCTATCCATCTGTCTCACAGGAAAGGTCATTTCTGCCATGGCCAACTCTCGAGACTACCGTGTCAGGGATGGACGCGAAGATGATGGTGGTGGTGGTGGTGGTGGTGGTGGTGGTGGTGGTGGTGATGGTGGTGAGAGCAGTCTCTGTGATGAGCACGCCCTACCTTCCTGTTCCGAGAAAGTGCTACAGTAGGGATTCAAACCCCCAAAGCGGGGTCTGACCCAGGAAGCAAATGTGGTTTGTAGCACACAGTACCTTTGGCCCATGGGGAGTCAGAGCCCTTTCTAGTTCCCTGCTTTGACCCTGGATGCCAGACTTCATCTGCCTTTTGTAAGGGTAAGAGGTGAAAAGGCCAGACCTGAGTCCTGGGACCCCTTGAAGACCATCCTGGTGTGTGTGAGATGCTGTTCCAGGGCTAGAACCCCTTGCCCTGCCCCCCACCCCAATGTTTTTTCTAAATGGAAGCAGATATGGGTTTGAACACTTTCCTCCACCTCCCATGAAACTAGATCCCATTTATTCATTCATTCAAACCTCCATCAACATGTGCCTCAGCATTCCCATCCATATGATGAGATGATTAGGCTTCTAACACTTGACACAGCGTCCCCTGGGGGGGCTAGGCCATCAAGTCCAGGGAGCCTCAGAAATGGCCCAAAATATGTGTGTGTGTGTGTGTGTATAAAGAGAAAGGGCTCATGGCTTTCTTAGGATTCTCAACTACTTTCATGACCCAAAAAAGGTTAAGAAGAAGCACTGGTTGGAGTGTAGGGAAGGCTAGCAGCCCCCAAACCCTGCTGGAGGGAGAGGCACTTGGAACTGCCACTCTGGAGAGCAATGTGCCAGTACCTTAGAAGTTGCAAATTGAGCCACGTATTGGCCAGACTGTCCACTCCTAGGTGTACAGGTGAGAAAGCACGGAGAATGATGGATGAAGGTGTTCACAGCAACAAAATAACCATAAACCCTCAAATGTCCATCAACAGGAGAATGACTAATATATAGTTATATTCAGACCCTGGAATAATGAAAAGAACAAGCTAAATCTGTATGGAACTTATTTATTCAACAGGTATTTTTTGAACACTTACTATGTACCACCCATCGTTTTTGGCACTGTGCTTGCCAGTGATCAACAAGACAAATCAAGTCCTGTCTTAAGAAGTTACATTTTAGTGGATGCGATAGTCATAAACAGATACAGGAGATGATTTCAGGGAATGTAATAAAGGCCAGGAAGAAAACAAAACTGAGTAAGATGATAGAATGATGGGAGTGGGGGCTGTTTTAGATAGTGTGGTCAGGGAAGTCTCCTCTGAGTAAGTGACCAGAATGAGAGAGACTGAGAGAACAAAGACACTAACGAGGTAGATGGCTAGGGCACAGGGACAGGGAAGAAATGCACTCTGCAAATAATGTATAAAAGAAAAGCATTCTTTACTTACACACACATACACTACTACACAGTTAGACAAAGTTCTGGAAGGGCATATGCCAAATCAATGAAGGCAATAGTCCCAATTAGGCGAAGGGACAACCAAGACTAGGACTCATGGTGGACTTGAGCTTGCCTCTAATATTTTAATTTTTAAATATTTAATTACTTAGCATTTTAATATCTTAATGTTTTATTATTTTTTTTTTATCATCCTCACCTGAGGACATTTTTCCATTTTTTGTTCAGGTAGAGTGGGAGGGAGAGAGAGGAACAGAGAGAGAGAGAAACATCAATGTGAAAGGGACACATCGAGTGGTCGCCACCCGCACAACCAACCAGGGCCGGGGACAAACTGCAACCAAGGTACATGCCCTTAGCGGGAACCGAACCCGGGTCTCTCCGGACCGCAGGCCGACGCTCTAACCGCTGAGCCAAACCGGCCAGGGCTAATATCTTAATGTTTTAAAGGTGAATATGCTCACATATAATTTGTGAAATTTAAAAAATAGTGTTTAAATCTACTATGGTGAAGAGGATTGGTTCCAGGGCAGTGAGGGAACTAAAGTTCATTGGGCGCAAGTTCCTGGAGGCAGTGGTTTGTTTGGGGAGGGGACACTGTTGGATCAGGAGAGCCCAGAAGATAGTGGCTCAGCCTAGAGGATCAGGAAACTTCTTGAAGGAGGTGCCACCTTTGCTGAGCCTGAGACCAGCTGGCCCAGCATCCTCAGACTAGAAGACAGGCCTGGAGAGGTTGTGATGTGTGTAAAGACACAGAGCAAGAGCGGTCAGAATGAGAAACTGAAACTACACTCTCCCAGCTAAGTCTCCTTTTCATAACTGGACCCCCTGCTTCTGAGTAACTAAAGGTCTCCTCTCAGCCAGGCCCCTCTAGCCCCTTCCCATAGCTATGCAGGCTAGAGGCCCTGCCGGTCTCCGTCAGGCCAGAAAGCATCGCCACCTGGTGGCCTAAGAGAGAAATGCAGCTCTCAGCCTCCTCAAAACAACTAGGTTTCAACCTTTAAAACCCACCCCTTCTTCCTTAGGAATGACCAACCCCTCCCGCTCCAACTCTGTTCTGAAACCCCCAAACAGTGCCTAGCAGGGCCCCTAGCGTCGCCTGCTTGAATCTGATCTGCAAGAAGAAAATGCCCTTTCAGGAAGGGGCAACATTCTGTTACTCTAGCCAATGGGTGCAGGAGGTCATTATTCATGTGAGAGGGTGGCACCTCATGACAGCATAGTTTACAAATCATGTCCTTAGATTCCTGACCCTTGCTACCAACCTTAGGGATAGAGAGGGTACATTTGATAGCTCATAAAAAGCCCCCCAGGGAAGGGCTTGTCCAATGCCACAGTGGAACGTGTGCACGAGCTGGCCCTAGAACACAGACCTCCTAGGAGCCAGCCCAGGGTGGGTGGAGGGGGTATCACCATGTTTGAAAACGATAGACATGGCCTAGATCAGTGATTCCTAGCTTGTGGTCCTTGAACAGCAGCAGTAGCAGCAGCAGTGCCTGGGAACTTGTTAGAAAAGCAAATTCTCAGGTCCTACCCCAGACTTACTGAATTAGAAACTCTCAGGGTGGGGCCCAGCCATCTGTGATTTTAAAAACCAGTTTGAGCCCTGGCCGGTTTGGCTCAGCAGTTAGAGCGTCGGCCTGCAGACCACAGAGACCCAGGTTTGGTTCCCGCTAAGGGGCATGTACCTCTGTATCTCCGTTGCAGTTTGTCCCCGGCCTGGGTTGGGGTCGTGTGGGTGGTAACTAGTCTATGTGTCTCTCACATCGATGTTTCTCTCTCTCTCTTCCTCCCTTTCTCCCTCCCACTCTATCTGAAGATGAATGCAAAAATGTCCTTGGGTGAGGATTAAAAAAAAAAAAAAAAGTTTGCCTTGGCTGGTTTGGCTCAGTGGTTGGAGCGTCGGCCTGTGGACCAGAGAGTCTCAGGTTTGGTTCCTGCTAGGGGCATGTACCAAAAAAATAAATAAATAAAAAACAGTTTGAGAACCTGAACCATTGGTCTAAAGGAATTACACCCCTCTTTTTACTAAATAAACTTTTATTTTGGAATGATTTTTGATTTACAGAAAAGTTGCCAAAATAGTAGAGTTCCCAGCCTACGCCAACATCAACATTTTACATGGTACTAAGATGTCAAAGCAAAGAAACTTACATTGTGTTATTATTAACTAAAACCCAGGCCTTATTCAGAGTTCCAGTTTTTTCACTAATGTCCTTTATTTTTTGTTGTTCCAAAATCCAGTCCAGGATATCATACTGCATTTAGGACTACATTCCTTTTAATTTCTGTTGGTCACCTCAGTCATCTTTCCCTGGGACAGAGAATGGGTGGGGGAGCTACTGTCTTCATTACTGAGCTGGGGAAACTAAGACTTGAAAACGCCAAGTGACCGACCAATATCCTAAGCTTAGCAGGCAGGGAGAGCAAGGCCCGTCTCACTCTGCACCTTCCCCCCAGGACTCTTAGCTTTCAGAGGCCCCCTTGGAATGTCCCACCTGACCTACCCCATCCCACCAGAGCAGATAATGAGATGCCTCTACTAGAGCGGGCCCAACCCTGGGAGAAATCCACCCCCTGCCCTGTGCTACACAGCCAAGGCTAACTAATACCAATCACTCATTTCTCTCTTGGTCGTGGGATTCCAGTTTTACTTCAGGAGGCAGTGTGCCAGTCCCAGAGATGGAATGTGATTGTTCTACTCACTTCTGTTCCCTGCTGTCTTAGTTTTCTTTACATCTGGGGTGGCAATGGTAGCTGGTGGGCCAAGGAGACCTAAGTGGAAATATGCAGGGGAGGGAGCAAGAAAAAGGCCTCTGAAAAATGTTTAACTTGATGATAGAAGTTGACAGGTCCACTTCCTTCTCCCCCACTACTTTCTTCCTTGAACATAGCCATGACTCCTAGTACTGCAGCCACCTTGTGACCATAAAGTAACAAGCAATGAGGAAAAGACCGAAAGGAAAACAGACATGTGTGCCCTACCTCTGTTGAGTTGTTAAACCAATACCACCAGTCACCTGTCTCCAGAATTGATGCTACATGGACAAACTTCTCTTTGTTAATCTAGGTTTTCCTTTACTTACAGCTAACTGTATTCCACATAATAGGATATACAAATACAAAAATGCTGAAGGATCCTTGTCCCTGGGAATCTGAAGCCAGTAGCATGCGGTTCTCCAAGCCCATCTCCTTTCTCATTTCATCCTCTCAATAATCCCTCAAAAGCAAATACATGACCCATTTTCACAGTGGTGGGAAATGGGCCTCCCTCACCGTTCAGTAGGGGGTCCAAGGTCTTGCTGCTAGCAAAGAGCGTGCTTAGAATCAGACCCTCCTCCCTCCAGGAGCAAAGAGAATGCTCCTCTGCTACACCTTCTGCATGTCCCAGTCCGCCGGAAGCCAGGTGTCTTCTGGGATTTTAGGAGTGGTGGCAGGTGCCAATGATCCTGCTATTGCAAGTCCGGTGTGGAAGCACCCAAGTATACCCTTAGGTCTGAGATGGTGGACTGGACAAGCTTGGCGGGGATGGTCTCTCGCTGTAGCTGCTGGTAGGCCGCGTAACGGTGGCAGCCCCCAAAGGAGTAGAAGTAGTCACCACCCTGGGCTCCTTTGATCCAGAGGACATCGATGGGGGGCACGCTGTCTGGGTCCTCCTGGAGAGAAGGGGGCACAGGGTAAATGAGCACGGAACAATACTTGACAGTTTGCAAAGCAGCCTTTGTTAACCTGTGATAGTTCCTATAGGGTGTGCACACTGGTTTGTGCTAGCTTGTGGAAACACTGTCAAGTATTCAGGAATTTTGTGAGTTGGTAGACATCACCTTTGTAGCTTGAAATTCAGCCATGGTGAGAGTATTCATACCAGGGAAATGGGCAGATACTACAAATCAGGGCTTTTCTTCCCTAGAAACCAGGTTGTTAAATATTTGTCAACACACCACATGCATATACATACACACTCCCTATATCTATCTGGCACAGTTCTAGACCCTGGGAATAAGATACAGCCAGAATGAGACAGACACAGCCCCTGCCTTCAAGGGTTGCAGTCTAGTGGGACAAATGAAATGAAGAAGTGAGTATTAGAGTGATAAATGCTATGAAGACGATAACACAGGTTGACATGACAGGCATGGGGGTCCACAGTGCCTCTCTGAGGTGACAACAGAGCAGAGAACTTAACGTAGTGGAGTCCACTTGGAAAGACAGAGAGGTGGAATAGTTTAGAGTTAAGAGCCTGACTGCCAGGTTCAAATATCAACTCTGCTACTTAACTGCTATGTGACCTCGGACAATTGATCTCTTTGTGCCTAAGTTGCACCATCAAATGGGGATGAAGAAAACATACTCAACTCATAAAGCTGTTGGGTTAAATAAGTTAATATATAGAAAGCACTTCGAACAATGCTTGGCCCACTGAAAAGTGCTCAGTAATAAATGTGAGGGAAGATCATTCCAGGCAGAGGAAATAGCAAGTGTGAAAGGCCTGAGCCCAGAACAAGACCACTGTATTGGAGGCATGGCAAAAATGCCAGCTGACCAGAGTGAACTCAAGGGGGACTGAGGAACAGAAGAGGTCAGAAAAGTCAGCAGGAGCCAGACCATGCAGGTTTCTTTCTTAGAGCAGTGGGTAGGCCCTGGAACATTTTATTTTATTTTATTTTTTTATCCTCACCTGAGGACATTTTTGCATTTATCTTCAGATAGAGCAGGAGGGAGAGAGGGGGGAAGAGAGAGGGAGAGAAACATTGATGTGAGAGAGACACATCGACTGGCTGCCACCCACACGACCCCAACCGGGGCCAGGGACAAACTGCAGCCGAGGTACGTGCCCTTAGCGGGAACTGAACCCAGGACGCTCTGGTCCATGGGCCAATGCTCTAACCACTGAGCAAAATCAGCCAAGGCTTATTGTATTTTTTTAGAGCGAGAGAGGAAGGGATAGAAAGAGAGAGAGAGAGAGAGAGAGAGAGAGAGAGAGAGAAACTGATTTGTTGTTCTACTCATTTATACATTAATTGGTTGATTCCTGTTTGTGCCCTGACTGGGGATCGAACCCACAACCTTGGCACATCAGAATGACCCTCTAACCAAGCTAACTGGCCAGGGCCCCTGGAGCTTTTAAACAGGGGAGGGTGACACGATCTAATGAACATCCTATTAAGTTGTCATAGGAGACCAGGCTTGGTGGACAAAGGCAAAAGCTGGAAGGACAGAGGTGAGGGCTCAGAAGGTATTCAGTGGAAGACACTGGCCTGGGCATGAGGGCAAAGGGAGAGGAAGACAAGTTGGGGATATGTTTAGAGGGCAGATCTGAGGGGACTGGCAGAAGCAGTGAATGTAAGGAGAAGAGAAGGAGAATTCACGTTCACTTCCTGTTATGGGCCTTCAGCCAGCCAGTGAGTGGGTGGTCTTCTAAGTAGGGAAAGCCTGAGGCAGGGCTAGGTGGGGGGTAGGGCACGCTGGGGAGATCAGTTAAGTGTGAGCTGCCTGAGAGGCCTCCTGCCATTGGCCCATAGGTTCTCTCTTATTATGCTGCTTTGATGAATTTATCTATCCGTTTATTCCAGAAATGATTATTAAGCCATAAGTTACGAGCAGTTACAAGTGAGGGTTCTGGAACCAGGCAAACCTGAATGTGGCTCTCAGCTCCTCCAAAGAGCAGCAAGTGACCTCATGTCCCTGAGCATCGTTCCTAATTGGTACAATGGGAGTGAGACACTGTGGGGCTGCTGAAGAAGAGTCAAGAAGCTGGTGCATGGGAGCGCAGAGCAGTCTGCCGGGCTGTGGCACACTAATGAGGGGCAGCTATGCTGGGTGCTGGCGGCATGATGGTGGGTGGATGAACAGAATAACAGCTCCCCAAAATGTCACATCCTAATCCCTAGAGCCTGAGAATATGTTACCTTACATGGCATAAGGGATGTGGCAGATGCAATTAAGGATCTTGACATGGGAGGTTATTCTGGCAGAAGAGGAAGTCTGCTGTTGCTGGCTAATGTGGTGGCCTCTCATAGCTGGGAAAGGCAAGGAAATGGATTCTCTCCTAGGACTCCAGAAAGGAATGCAGCCCTGCTGGCACCTTGATTTTAGCCCAGTGAGACCCATTATGGACTTCTAACTATATAGTAACAAATCTGTATTGTTTTAATCCACTAAGTTTCTGGTACTTTGTTACAGTTGTCATAGAAAACTAATACCTATGGCAAGCAGACAGGTCTGGTTCTCACCCTCACAGAGCATAAGGTTCTAGTGTGGAAGTCAGGTGTCTAAACAGCCCATTAAAACCCAGTGGGATAAGAATTATACTGGTGGGCATGCAGATGACTAGCGGCCCACAGAAGGCCCCTAACCCAGTAGGGGCCATGAGGGAAGACAGTGACCCTGAGACAGGAAGACCGAGGAGTTAGAAATAATAAAGAAGAGATGGAACCCCTGGCCGGTTTGGTTCAGAGGTCAGAGCATCAGCCCTTGGACTGAAGGGTCTTGGGTTTGATTCCCGGTCAAGGGCCCTTACCTGGGTTGCATGTTCGATCCCCTGATTGGGGTCGTGCAGGAGGCAACCAATCAATGTGTCTCTCTCAAGTCAACGTTTCACTTTCTCTCTCTCTCTCCACCCGTCTCCTTCCAACTTTCCACTCTATCTAAAAATCAATGGAAAAATATCATCGGGTGAGGATCAACAGCAAATAAACTAGAGATGAAAGAGTTCTCCTGGCCTGTGCAAAGGCCCAGGGTGGGAGACAGTGTGCATGGCTAGATCCTCCATAAACAGCCAGGCACTGTGCTAGAGTTGAGAAAACAGTCCCTGCTCTTGTGGAGTTCACATGAGTTGGGACAGACAGACAACGAAACACAAACAAATGTATAATTTAATCTCAGGTGGACATAAGTGCTTCATGAAGAAATAACTCAAGTTAAGGTGACAGATAGAGAGGGCTGGGCTTCATTAGCCATGGCGACAGGGAGGCAGAGACCTGATCCTGTAGCAGGTCCTATAGCTACTGGGGAAGTGGTTCCAGGCAGTGGAAGAGCAGGGCAAACTCTAAGACTGAAAGATATTTGGGGGAGCCATAGAGGTGTTTGGTGGGGCCTCGGGTCTCACATGGTCACCTTCCAAGGGTCCAAGGGAAGGGGACAAGATGCCATGCAGGCCTAACCTGACACATATGTCCCTGCCCTTCCCCAAAGTTCCCTCCAGGATCATTCCTGCATTCTTGACCACCCCCCTTCAGTGATGGAGCTGACCCCTGTCCTCTCCCTGTTCCAATTCAAACAAGGCCCTCCCAGCAAACACGACATGCCCAGGCCCCCTGTCACTCACTTGCACAGCCAGAAGTGACAGCACAGCTTATCTCCAGACAGTGTGGTGTCCAGGCTGTGCCACTTTCTAAGTGTCTGGCCTTGAAAAAGTTGCTTAAATCCTCACGTGCCTCAGTTTCCTCGTCTGTAAAAGAGGAACAATAGTAGTATCTACCTTATTGGGTTGGCACGAAGAAGCTAAGGCACTTAAAACTGCTCCTTGCCCCTGAAAAGTGCTATCTTTATGTTAGTGATCTTTATTTTATAATCTTATCAATCCCCTGCTTGCTCAAATGAGAAAACTGAGGCCCAGAGAGGCCCAGCCAGGTGCTCAAGGTCACACAGTAAATGCTGTGCTCCGGTGGAGCCCCGAACCAGCTCCCTCTAGCGTCCAGTGCGACCTGCCTCCTCCGGCGCCCTCCCTCCGGCCGGCGCCCCCGGGGCCTCACCCGGATCGTGTCCACGAGGCTCTGCACCTTGGCCGGGTCCAGAACAGATGGCAGCGGCCGGATGAGCACGTTCAGCGGCACATTGTGTACCGCGGCGATGCAGCCCGAGTGGATGCTGCCGCCCTGCGCGCCGCCGCTGGGCCCGGGTCCTTCCGGCGCCCCCCGGCCCGCCCCGGCCCTACCCAGTGCTCCTGCCGCGCGCAGCCCCATCGCGCCGCCGCCGCTGGCCTTCACCCCCTGCCCCGCCCGCGGGCTTTAACCCGGCCGGGCCGTACCACTCCGCGAGGCGGGCGGGGGGCCCGGGCCAGGGTGCCTTTCTTTTCCCGCCCCGCAGTGGTCCGGCCCCATCCCAGCGCCCGGCCCCCGGACTTCGGCTTGGCCCGCTGGGCGCTGCGGAACACGCGCGGGGCGCCGTCTCTCCGCTGGGGGGCGCCTCGCCGTCTCCCCTCCGTCGCTTGGAGTCCTGGGAGTGGAAGCTCCCGAACCGGCTGACTCAGGGTGAGTCGGCAGGTCGAGCGGCGGGAGAGCGCGGGTGACGCACAGTCCGGGGTGACTCAGGCCCGCGGGGTGCGGGGCGGGGACAAGGCGGAGGGCCGGTGGCCGGACCTGTCGAGCAAGGATGAATCGGCTAAACCCACAGTACTTTGCCGCCCGGCTGTCGGAACCCTGTCGATAATAGCCCTGGAGGTGCTAGTAGTACAGACAAGAGTAAAATTATGAATCCGGTGCTGTGTCAGACACTGTTCTAAACACTTTGTATATCAATTTACTTAAACCTCAAAATAATCTAGGCATGATTATTATTCCCTTTTAACAGATGAGAAAATGGAGGCACTGTGATTTGCCTAAGGTCATGGAGCCAGGGAGCGGCTGAAGCAGGGTTCAAATCCAGACAGGCTGGCTCTAGGGTTTGATCTCTACCCTACCGCTGGCTCTCTCCGTTCAGCCAAAGTAACTGTCACAAGGAGCCTTCTGGAACCGTGCTGACAGTGTGTGGGCACTGCCCCAAAGTTCCACACTGTCTCATCGAATTCTGACAGCACCACTAATGGTTATCGAACCGCTTGTCCAAGGTACAGCAGCTGAAAATGAAAGGTCCTCTGAGCCTAGAACCCCGGGCCACTTAACCACAAACACCTGCTCACAGATGTGGATACTGAGCCTTCAGAGGATGGTGGTAATGACTTAGGTCCAGACATGCTGACTGCCAGTCCCAGTCTTTTCTGTTTAAAGCCCTTTGTCCCCTTGGACCCATGTTTAGCACCAAGTGTCCTCTAGGGCCAGGGAGAGGTAGGCAGAGGCTCCTGGTTTAAATTCCAGATGCTTATCAGTGTCTATGTCAACATTAGGGCTTTGGCACAGATTGACCTGGGTTCAGGTCTCATCTGGCCAATCTCTAGCTGTGTGGTCTCAGGCAAGTTGCTTAACCTCTCTGACCCTCCACCTTCCCTTCTGTAAAGTAGTTGTGGGGAGATTGTGGGGACACTCAGAGATGGCTGATAGAGGGCACGGTGGGAGGTAAATCAGTACATGGTGGTTGGCCAAGTACATAGTGGTAACCAAGGAAGGTGACTGTTTTTTTGGTTTTTTTTTTTGGAAGGTGACTGGTTTTATCCTAAATACCCAGAATGCTTAAGGAGAGGTTATGTTTGAGTGTATCAGAAAGGCTCTCTGGAGGGGGGCATTTAGACTGGAAAATGGCTTGGTCCTGGAGAGGGAGAGGGGAGAAGAGGATGATGGTTTAGGGTATAAGCTCTGGAATCACTTGAATGCATGGCTTTGAATCTTGGCTCTACCACCACCTACTAGCTGTGGTACCTGGGGGCAGGGGTGGTACTCAACTTCTCTGTGCTTCAGTTTCTTCCCTCAATTGCCAGGGAGAGTAAATTAGAATAGCAAATTACGTGTTTAGGATACCTGGCCTAGAAAGTGCTGGATGAAAGGTAGATATGAAGGACATTCCAGCCACAGGATCAGCTTAAGCAAAAGCAGGGAGGTGGGACAGCTCCAGATCTGGCTGAAGACAGGTATATCTGGTTTGGTTGTCCTTCTCACCCTGAGTGGCACCTGCACGGGGAATGCACAGTCACTCTCTCAGCCGGGGGGCTGCTACATGGGCCAGTTACTGATACTTTCTGAACCCTCTGCAAAATGGGGTAATGCTGCCCATCACTCAAAGTTGTTATGAGTGTGAATTGAGAGGATGCATGTAAGTGCCCAGTGAATTGTGTAACATCTACTTTATTGTTGAAGATCATTTATGTTGGGTTCTTAGTCTTTTGCAAACCTTAGAACTCTGAGACCATCAAAATATAACCCCTGTGAGCACCTAAATTATACTTTGTTTCTGGAAGTAGAATTGACACCCATACCTCAGCCCCAGAATTACTGAGAAATAGAGAATTTTATCAAGAGAAAAGTCCCTTCCTCATTACAGGAAATAAGAGGAGGCAGGATAACAGCTTCTGGAATGGAGATTTGACCCAACTCTCTCATTGTGGTATGCCCAGCGAGGTTCCCACTCCTGGTATCAACTTCTATATGATAAGATTCCTATGGTTCAACTCAAAATGGCTTAAACATTAAGATTTGTATATTTCCAAAGATGTTTGGAGGTAGGTATATCCATGGTTGGTAAAGTAGTTGATCAATGTAATTAAAGACTCTGGTTCTTTCCATCTTTTTGTACCATCATTCTCCATATTCTGGTTTTTATCCTCAGGCTTGTCACTTGTGGCCCCATAATGGCTGCTGTAGCTCCAAACATCACATCACTATATAACTACTTCTAAAGGTAGAAGTTAGGATATCCCTTTGTGCCTCTTTTTAAGAGTGAAGAAACCTTTACTAACCACTGCCTACTCTCCCACCTTCTTGCCCAGGAGCCGTTTCCTCATATCTCATTGTATGTCAGAATTATATCACGTCTGTGCCTAAACCAATCCCTGGCAAGGGGAGTAGAATTACCAAGATTGACTTACTTTAACTGGCTTTCACTTCTGGGCTTAAGAGGGTTTACCTTCCATTGAAGTTCATGGCCCCTGATCTCTGAACAGAACTGGCAAGGCCTGGTAGTTGCAACCTCATTTTCCTGTCGCATTTTTTTTGGGGGGCAGACCCAATGTTTGGGGGCATGGCAAAAAGGAAGGAGGACCTGACCAGGCCTGCCCAATCAACAATTGCATTATATTGGTCTATCTGTCCCTAAATCAGTGAGACTGAGATTTAAGCCTTATTGGGATTAAAGTTCAGTACCTTGCCCTGGTTGGTTTGCTCAGTGGTTAGAACCTCGGCCCATGGACCAGAGTCATGGGTTCGATTCTGGTCAAGGGCACGTACCTCGGTTGTGGTTCGGTCCCTGGCCCTGGTTGAGGTCGTGCAGGAGGCAACCAATCGATATGTCTCTCTCACATCGATGTTTCTCTCTCTTTCTCTTCCTCCCACTCTATATGAAGTAAATGAGAAAATATCCTCGGGTGAGGATTAAAAATTAAATAAATAAATAAGTAAGTAAATAAGTAAATAAATAAAATGAGGTACCTTCCACTGGGGCTAAATGTAAGCCTGGAACTGGAAGCTGGAGAAATTTGGGGATATACACAATAACCTTTTGTTTAGTTTGCATTCTCCCAAAAGTAGACCCTGAGACGAGGACTTGTGTGAAGGCAGTTTATTTGGGAGATGTTCTAGTTAGTATTGTTGTAAAACAAACTACTCCAAAATTTAGTGGCATAAACCAACTGTTTTATTATCCTCACAAATTCTGGGTCAAAAAATCAGTGGGGACTGCTTGTCTCTTCTCTACAATATCTGGGCCATCAGCTGGGCGGTGACTTGATAGCTGGGGCGGGAATCATCTGGAGGTGACTTCATTTACATGTGTGGCAGATGGTATTGCCCGTCAGCCAGAACACCTCCACGTGGCCTCTCCATGTGGCCTGGGCTTCCTTATAACATGGCGCTAGCTTCTAAGCGCTACTGACCCAAGAGAACCTGGCAGAAGCTTCACAGGCTTTTCCAGTATATAGAATCCTTTCTGCAGCATTCGATTTGCAAGAGCTGTCACAACCCCACCCCCACCCCAGACTCAAGGGAAGGGACAAAGACTCTATCTCTTAATGGTAGAGTAGCCAGGTGCTAAAGGAGCTTGTGGTGAGGAGTAGTGTTGTGACCATCTTAGAAGACATGTCTGCTGTGGAGGTGATCCCAGGAAGGACTGGGGAAGGGAGAGGTGGCAGTAAAGGGCACACTGATGAGCAGGTTAAGTTGGTGGACAACTGGGGCTCACTCCTCCTGGGGACTCTGAGAAGAAACATCATGCATTATGTATTAGCATTGTCTCTCTGAGGGACAGGGGGTTGGGGGCTGGGCATTTATTCACTGAATCCTGTCCCTCGTTGATTAAGGGTTGCCTGAGGATGTTAAATCTTTACCATTTCTGGGCTGTCCTGTACTCAAACATCTGAGCAAGCATCTGAGGACCCAGAAGATGAAGCTGCCTGCTTATAGTGACCTCAGAGGTGGCTTAAGGGAATAAGGGGCAGGACATCAATACATTTCTTTTCTGTGCAAACCAGCTGGAGCCCATGTTTGTTGTTCGCAGCCAAAGGCCCTCACTACCTTTCTACTCATCCTTCTCCTGGGCTCCCACCTCTCTCCTTCTCTTTCACTTTATTTTTTAAATTGAGGTTTGGAGAGAGAGAGGGTGGGTGGAGGGAGAGAGGGAGAAAGAGAAAGAGAGAAACAATGATGTGAGAGAAACATCAATCGGTTGCCTACCATACCTGCCCCGACCGGGGATTGAAACTGCAAGCTAGGTATGTGCAGTGACCTGGAATCGAACCCAAGACTTTTGGTGTACAGGATGACACTCCAACCACCTGAGCCACCCGGCCAGGGCTTCTCTTTCATTTTTTTATTTTTATTTTTTTTTGTGCCTCCACCCACACCCCACGGCCCCCGCTCTCTCTCATTTTTGACAAAGAATCTGGTACTTCAGACATTTGGGTATGCAAAGATTTTTCTGGGGAGACAAAAGAATTTCTGTGCCACAAAAGGAATGTTAAAATCTTACTTACACCCTGGCCAGTTTGGTTCAGCAGTTAGAGCATCTGTCCACAGACTGAAGGGTTGTGGGTTTGATCCCCAGCCCTGGTCAGGGTTGTGCGGGAGGCAACCAATCTCTCACATCGATGTTTTTTTTTTTTACTTTCCCTCC